GTAATATACACAGAATTCATCAAAGCATTGATGCAGAGTGCTCACTGGTAGACGCCTTGACCTTCTGTACATGTGAGCTGATGGAGCTCGCAGGCTGTGCAGCCTGCAGGCAGGTGGCTGCTCACCTACCCAGGCCAGTGCAGAGTGCTGACCATGACCTTAGACTGCAGCCTCTCACAAGAGCTACTTTAGAAATAACTGTGAGGGTTGTTAACCACTGTGTCTCTGAAGAGTAAGTAGTAGTGAGGATGTGAGGAAATGTAAAACATGCCTTTATGTCTCACCTGTTTCCACTGAGGAGTGGGATTTCCCAGTTGGGCGATTTAGCCGGAGAACACTTTCTCTACTTTCATTACTGACAGATTCTCTCTATTTGTAATTTATGGAGGAATTTTTTTTTTCAATTCAAGTAGAATCATTTAATGAAGATAGAGTAGGACAGTGTTGAAAATAAAAATAACTCACATTTCAAAGGAAGATGCCAATGAGTCTTTAAGGTTTTGTGTGCGTGTGTGTCTGTTTGTGTGTGTTTGTGTGTGTTTGTGTGTGTTTGCGTGCGCGCACGCATGCTTGTTTCCATCCATGCACTATGACATGCATGTGGAGGTCGGAAGATATCTACAGGAGTCAGTTCCTTCTTCCACTGTGGGTCCCAGTGATAGAACTCAGGTCATCAAACTTGGCAACAAGTCCCCTTTCCAACTGAGTGCTCTTGGGGCCCCTGCTCTAGAGTCTTCAAGAACTTGGTGAGTCCCTGCAAGGTCATCTTCCTGCGTTGCCAGCCTTTGGTAATCTTCAGATCTTTGTGAACATAAGAAGTCTCAACAATGCTTTTTTTTTTCTTTCTTTTAACAGTTGAATTGCATTCCTGAGAGAGACTTTAAAAAACTGTAGCCTGCCACTTTCCCTGCTGCAGTAATGGGAACTTCCTGAATAGGAGGCAATTAGAGCACGTGAGTGTGCTGATGTGATGTTCCTTAATCACCTTAATGAGTTTCATACAGCTAGAAATGGAATAGAATTTTCCATGGAAATATAATTAAATAGGAAAAGCCATTTCCTGTAGTTGAGACTTCCACCTCCCCAGTTCTTCAGTCACCTCCCTAGAAAGAGTGCCTTACAGGCTTATATCGACATTATAGTGAGCTAATTTACATAATTCACTTAGGTCATTAGAGCTGAAAACAATATAAATACCAAACAATATATTTCTTTACAAATCAACTTTGGCCACTTTCTTTTAAAACTCTGATAACATTTACTAGTTTTAACAGAATTATCTTGAATTGTCTGTCTCTAGCCTAAATCCAGCTAAGTCTTTTAATTATGCCTTGGCAATCTGGCTTGCTGAAGGCAGTTCTCAGGGGACTTGACAGCATGAGTCAGTGAAGACTTAAGGATCTTTGGAAATACTAAGTGGGCTTTCCTGATGAATGTTCTTACTGTGAGAAAATCAGGGGGAAAATAGTTCTATGTTTCTGATCCCCAGACAAGGCCCTTTTAAATGTGATGCATACATTTTAAGTTGAGCCATCAGTTTAATGTGTTGCTTTGAAAACCAGCAGTATGCTATGTGGCCCACACCTCTCGGCCTGGCACTTGGGAAGCTGAAGGAGGATTACAGTGAGTCTGATGCCAGGTTGGGCTACACACTGAGAGCCCATCTTCAAAGTTAGAAAAAGAAAAACAATAGCGTACCATAGGAAAGACAGTTCTGCTGTTGTTGGGCTGTTTGTTTTAGATCTATCTTTAGGGGCAGGAGAGATGGTTTAGTAGTTAAGAGCACTGCTGCTCTTACAGAGGACCAGGGTCTCAGCAAGTGTGTGTGTGTGTGTGTGTGTGTGTGTGTGTGTACATGTATTCGAGTGCAGGGATCTTTGGAGGTTATAGGCTTCGGGTCCACTAGAGCTGGAGTTACAGGCAGTTGACAGCCACTGGATAGCAATACTGGAAACTGGACTTGGGCAGGAACAGTAAGTGAGCCCTTACCAGCTGAGCCTTCTCTCTAACCCCTTATTTTTTTTAATCTTAACCACGAAGGTTGTGATTTTTATCGTTTCCCATAAAAGTAGTCAAAGGGATTGACTATTCAACTAAATCAGTCCAACTGACTGGACTCAGTTTAGCTGTGACATTTCAGAGACACTCTGCTTTGTCTTGGAGTTGGGCAGGCTGGACCATCACAGCCAGATCCTGCTCTTTGCATTTGTTTGCTTTGTAGCTTTCTATGGCAAGATCAAATGCTACATTTGATTAGGTTGACTTTCAACCTGTGGGGGTCTTCCTGCCTCTCCTTCCCCCTGTGCTGGGATTACAGGTATAGGCTTCTCCACTCTGCTGAATGTTTATGTTTTTAACTATGGAACAAAATCAAGAGTTGCTTTCTTGACCATTTCACTTATGAGTGTGCTTCCCACCCCGCCAGCTCTGCTGCCTTCCAGGAACTTCAGATGAAGACTGGCATGAGTCAAATCCTCCTTTGAGTGAAGTTAAGATAGACCGACACATGCATACACACACACACACACACACACACAC